TTTATAAATAACACGCAAAAGATTATTTTTTTCGAAAATATATTAATAAAATAAATACAGTAACATTGATCAAAAATGCTTGTAATAGTAAAAAATTTATAAAATCATTTTTTAGTTTATTTTAATGTAATAGATTCGGATCTTCCATTGTTAAATTCTTATGTTAGTTATTAATCTGTGCGCAAAAGAGGTCATTTTATGTAAACACATTCTACTTTACAACAGACACAATGATATATTACTATTTAATACACATGATATGTATATGTTACTAACATGTCTAATCGTAAGTAAGCATTAATATTAATGATAATCAATGATTATCGATTAATAAATCAAAACAAGTGACAAATAAAACAAAAATTTTTATAACAAAAACATTTTTATTTATAAAAAGATAAATTGCGTTATATAGATATATTATATATTACTTTTCTTTAATCATCACAGATTTTCTACTTAACATGAGATGGAATTAGATACTTTAGAAACCAAAAAACAAAACTTTAAAAATTTTGCATTTTTTTGTACAATATTTTCTTTCAAAGCAAATTTAAATTAATTCAACATAAAATTAAATTTTTCCGTTTGTTGTGCAAAAATATTTTTATTTCTAATATTAAATACGCGAAGAAATTAAAAGTAATAATTTTATATAAAAAAATAACTTTTTTATATTTTTAAATAAGAATATACTATTAAAATTATAAAATTTTTATTTAAAATCGCTTATATATAGAAATATCTTACTAATGAAATAAGCTTATTGTGATGATTGGTTCATAATTAATCAAAATGCATTTGTTCATTGATTTGTAGTTAACGTTGCTCCACAATATTTTGTAAAATTTTATCAGTAAACTATGGTTAATATTTGTATAGATATATTTCAGTTGACAAATCACGAACGACAGATTGTCCCGTGACTACCCTAGATTCCGGCTTTTGCAATGTTCGATGGAGAGCCATAAGATAATTGCTATCTCACAATATAGGGGAGTAGCACAAGAATTTCACGATCCCGTCTATATTCTCAATAAACAGAATAAAAAATGGAGCGCCGTAGTAAATGAATTGTCGATCATAAATTCTCATGCTCCCTTATAATAAAACCTAGAACTACCTTAATTAAAATAATTATTTACTCGAAGACACACACATCCTGCCTTACCAAGAATATTTAAGTTTCGAAGTATCTACACAATGATTAGAGACTAAAAAAATAAAGAAAAAGAAATGTCATTGTTTGTCGCATGACGGTGCATCATATATTAATAATAACCGAACAGAAATAAAAATTCAAACAGAATGGCAAATTCTTCTAGATTGTTAGATATAGTTTTAAAATACAAAGAAAAAAATAATTTCTATTCACAAAGGAAAAAATATACATGACAGGCAAAAGATGAGACGGAGACAATAATCGAAGTCTTAGTTTTTATACGCTACATTTGCCAAGTTAGTTCCGATTCATCGCGACCGACATGAGAGAAATAAATTTCGAAAACGTGAATCTTCTAAATAATCGAGCAAACATGCTCTCAGGGAATCTATTACCGATGACAGCTGATGATTCATTTCCGATATTCTGGCGTATATATAGAGCCATTGTCTGGTCAATAGAATTGATTCACGCGATTGGGCTAATCGCCGGATTAATCGTAACTCCAAAGGAGAAAGCTTTGAAAGACGGTATTATCTCCGTCGTCGTCATAACGGAGGCAACTTTCTTGCTCGCGGGTATTTACACGCGCAAAAAGTTAACAATGCAAGTGATAGGAAAGATGAATGACATCCTGCGAACTGCGAACGAGATTATGATGGACATCGTGAAAACGACACTGAAACCAATAATTATCCCATTTATAATTTATGGGGTGGCCAGCGTGATATCGGTCACTATATGGACCATACATCCGATTGTATTGGTTTTCGAGAAGAGTACCTTTTACTACGTGGATTACAATTTGCCAGCAGCTTTCAGCCCCGAACCGTTTTCAGTTCGCGTTCTAATTCCATCGACTATCATTATGACAATGGGTGCCGTCTATTTGTTCCTGAGAAAATACAGCTTGGACGTGTACATGATGCATCTGGTATTGATGTTAACTGCGCAATATCGATATACAGCAATAAAATTGGCATTATTATGTCGGAATTCGCAACAGGATAGTGATAACTCTCGAAAAAAAAGTCATCCTTTGACAGATTTATGGGCGGAAAAAGAACTGAAAGCGTTATGTCGGCATCAAAATAATGTTTTGTTGTACGTATTTTTGCAGTAAGCATAATATAATTATTAAAATAGAAAATAAAATAAAATTATTAAATAATAGGAAGATACTTTTAAGGTTGCTCCAATTATAGAGTTGTAATTAAATGACTGCGCTTTTAAAATATTTGAAAAATTATAAATTACAATATTATC